TGTATCGAAACGCAGTTGCAGAATCAGAGAAAAAACACACGCACTAACGTCTGTGTCGTGAGCACCACTTAGCTGTTGTGATGAACTGTGTGTTGTTGAATCTAATTATGACTATTATAACAACCAATAATCACATTTGATGCTTGTAATGTTACTTTGAGTGTATATCTACACCGGCCAAGCTTGAAAAATTTTCCTGGCCACGGTGGAAAAGTGTAAATCTAAAGAAACACCTAAAACAAGGGATGATTGATATTCTGACTCGAACCGACCTGACCGCGTAGCTCAGTTGGCAGAGCATTGGGCTAGTATTCCAAAGGTCGTAGGTTCGATTCCCACCGTGGTCAGGCAAATTTTTCAAGCTTGGCCGGTGTGGATATACACTCAGAGTAACATTACAAGTATCATATTCACCTGAGTACATTACACCAACACAGAAAAATCAATAATCACATTTTGTCTTTTAGCCTGTGTTATTGGACAGCAGCAGTATACAAGCAGATCGCATCTTACTACTCGATACTTTCTTCCAGTTGTTGATTTATCATGGAGAGGTAAGAACGAAGGTTTTTTGCTGGTTGGAGGAAGGAATATAAAAAAGTAAATTACAGCGTATATTAAGGCTCATGTAAGAGAGCAGAATACCGGGGTGTCCACGGGCCTTGAAAATCCTGGAAAGTCCTTGAATTGGAAAAAGAAAATTCCAGGACTGGAAAGTCCTTGAAAATCCGTAGAAGTCCTTGAAAGTCCTGGAATTAATGTCCTTAACTCCAGCTGTGCCAACATTAGTGATTTTGATTAAAATTACCGAATAAAGTGAATTATTTACAGCAAATCCGTGCCATTTTCAAAGATTTTTCCCAGTTCTAGGTCCTTGAATTTACTGAAAAAGGGCCTTGAAAGTCCTGGAAAAGTCCTTGAATTTCAACTTCACCAAAGGGTGGACACCCTGGAGTACACATTTTTGCGTGGTTGAGGAAATTCGGTCGTATCCCGGTTAAATATAAGTTTAAGTTCAGTAGAATCCCCATTTAGTGACATGGAAATGACATCTGATTCTCCCATGTTCGTTTTTTTTTCATGCGGAAGAGAGATTCAATATATTTCAAAACCTTATTACAGATTTTTTGATATAAAAGATATTACACTTGTATATTTCAAGCAAAATCATTATGCATTCCGCCATCTTGGGTATGCATATCCATCGTCGGATATCATTTAATTAGATCTAATTATAAAACAAGATGGCAGGATGTTTTGGTTCCAAATATCTCAAAAATTAACATATAGTTTGCGAATATTTGTAAAAAGGATTTGTATAAATGATCATAACATTCATGCATACATAATTTTTGTTGCTATTTTCCATGGTAAGATATTGTAGTATTATACACCAGGGTGGGATAATTCAAGATTTTTAGTGGTACCTGACTAGTACGCCAATGGTTGTTGCTGCGTACTTGCGCAAACTCAGTACTCAATGTGTACTTAGTCTTTAAAATAAGGTTAATAAAGTACAGGTTTATGAAAAGTATGTTCAGACTACGAGGTAGAAAAAGAAGCACAATTGCATATACAAACGATAAACTCCAACGTTACGTTTCTTAGTGCCATCAGTCCAATCATGTTTCATGCGAAGACATCTCAGACACATGATATACCAACTAAATTACAGTATTGAATACCTTGGGTTAGGCACGGTGGGTTAGGAAAGGTCATGTGGTACTAGCGAAAAGTAAGTACGCAGATAGCAAGAGTTCCGCGTACCTACGTGATACGTGGCTGAAAACAAAGAAGTACCAGGCCGTGATATTGGTGTACCTCCTGTACGTAAGTACGCGAATACACGCTTCCGGAAAGTACGTCACTTTGGCTATAGAGCCTCGTTTTCGTGATTGAGACGCGGCCTTTAACTGATGTCAGATACACGAAAACGAGGCTCGTTAGCTAAAGTGACGTACTTTCCGGAAGGGTGTATTATCGCACCCTTTGCACGTTCGTCCGTACATACCGACGAATTCGTTAACAAAGGACATGGACTCCTTGATAGAAGTGTCAATGATTCATTAACGCCGAAGTGTCTCCCCTTCACGAGTTGAATATTATTGCCATAGGGCGTCTGTCACTTGCGGCACATTGCTGTCCAATGGGTAATTCCATTCGTGAAACGTGAGGTGTATATAATAGCATAACCGAACTTCATAATTATTCAAAACTGAATATTCTGTGTGGGATGGAAACACACACAAACACAAGACAATGCAACATTCCGATCACCGAACCCGCACTGGGCTCATTGCTGTGCCATTTACCCCTTGTCACTGTGCCACTTGTCGACAAGAAAGTCTGGGGTTTGGGAAAGAAAGTGAGCTTGAAAGGACAAAAGAAGAAAGCTTTAAATCTCGAGTTTTGATGACAGTTTGTAATTCCTACACTCCACTCCTCTAGATTGGGGAAGATGGTCACCTTTCCGAAATGGGAAGGGGGCGGGGGCCGGACAGTAAGCCCACTTGTAACTATATACACCATTGTTTATAATGACAATTTAATTTAGAGCCTTTTTCTACTTTAACCGTAATGTAACGTATTTCTCGTTTGTTCCCTGAGCACTAGAGTGGAACTAATAACTTCGACATAAAAGAAAATGCTCCGTTACGTTACGTTACTATACGGTTGAAGTGGAAAACAGCCTGAAGAGGTTTTTTCTATGTCGCGTATATTTGCGGTAAAAAGCGTTCGAAACCTAAAATCTTTTTATTTCTCTAAATCTGCCGGTGGAGAAACGATTAAAATACAATTGTCGATGATGCTTTAATTGACGCCATATTCACAACATTATAAGCAAAACTTACTGAACTTCAGATATCATTTTCTCTTTGGCGTACCATCTGAAGTCTTCATTTTAGCATTATTTTGCAGATAAAGCACTAAACATGCTTTGTCTGGCGGTTAAGAACGAATAAAAAATTTTAAAGTTTGAGTGTAGTCATAATCAAGCTGTACATTATACTCATTAGCTCTGAGCGTGTGTTACGTAATAAAACAATCGACTCTTAACCAAAACATTCATCCTAGAGTTATAACACAATCAATAGTAAAGGTAGTATTTGTATAATCGTGTGAATTATTGAACTCCCCTGCTTTTTTGCAGACGATTGCTCAGTGGAAAAAACAAGGCTATCACAACGACCCACAGCATGAAAATTTCCGACAACTGTTACAAGCACCGAAAGATGATGCACAAGAAATCCTACAAACACGATTTCCCATGCCCCGTTACATCGATACACAACATGGCGGAAGTCAGGTAAAACATCATGCCCCATCAAAACTTGAAAGTCCTTGAAAACAAAAATTCAAGGCCTTGAATGCCCTTGAAAAAAGTACTTGAATGTCCTTGCTTTCGTTTTATGGATATTTTGTTTGGCATTCAAGACGGACATTTTGTTGAAACTCATTAAAGTTGCGTTTTGAACAATTCAACGTTAGATTTTACTGATTTCTAACCCCTTTTCTTCAGTATTTAATCCTTGAATTTGCTGATACATGATGACCTTGAATGTCCTTAAAAAGTCCTTGAATTTGACTCTTCCTCACTTGTACGAACCCTGATTGATATTGTTCGAAAGTCAGTTGCCTTAATCCTCGTTTAACGAACAACATCAGAGCAATGTCCCGCCCCATGCAATATGGATATATTTTTTCAGAAATCTTTTTTGGATCAACAAGGGTCTATTTTCTGAATTTTTGAAATAAACGGACGTGGAAATGTATACCCGAACCAAAACAGCGGGTTTAATTTTAACCCAGCTTTGACGGCCAGTTCCAAAAGACGGCTTTTGAATGGATGATTATCAGATTCACGCCTTCTGAATGGCTTGTAAAATTCGTGTACATTTGTACACGCTACGTAGTTGCGCAATTCAATTGGCAACGCAGTCTACAATATTGGACATAACCCTTGAGAAAACA